GGTTTCCTGGTCTATGAGACAGAGAGTAATAATAACACCGATGTTCGCTGTGAAGATCGGGTGGAATGATAATGTACCTTGGGCACATGCCCCTGGACAAATATACAAGTGCAAGCCCGTGAGCAAGGGGCTCGGGGCCTCCACTCAGCGATTTAGTCAGCGGACCGCCCTCAGCAGGAGAGCGAGAGGCTTGATGAGGGGGCAGCTTTCAGGAAGCCAGAGCTCAGATTTGTAAGTGACCCCTCTGGTGTCGTTTCAGGATGCTACTCTGCTGAAACATTCTCCTTGCCTCTTTTTTTCTTCTTTTCCCCCACAGATGATCTTAGTAGCCATATTTTCAGAAACTGGATTTTTTGATTACTGCGCTGTAAAGGTAGGTTTGATGTAGCACTTAATGGTTATGTATGACTCGGTTGACGTATTTCTTACGTGTTTATTTTTCTACTGGTACATATGTAGTGAAGAAAACTGCTATTTAAAGAAAGTGTTTAAAAATTCTATCTTCTTTTTCAAAATCACTGCTGCAAGTCTGGGTAGAGTTGCCATCCTGTGTCGGGTGGCTCTGAGCAGTGCTTTCAGCTTCTCAGCAGTCCCGGAGGAAGGGGACCAGGGAGAAGTCGGCTCCAGCTGAGTGTCCGACATTCTTTAAGTTGGCAGGTTGAGAGCTATGCACTAAAACTGTTTTGCTCTCTGAGCATCTAAAGATTTCAAGGCATCAGCTTCTGATTACTTTGCTTTTTGGTGAAATCGTTTCAATGACTGCTTTCTAAACTTTGAACCTGTAAACATTCACTTTTGTCACTGGAACCCTGGGAAACCCACCAGCAAGTTGCGACTGTCAGACTCTGTCCTGGTCCTGTCTCTCAGGGTTGGCAGGAGGAGAGCTTTGCTAATGCAAAGGCTAATTCTGGGCTTGAATTTTTGTTTTTTTGGAACTGAAAAGTTCTTTTAAAAAATTATGTCCTCAACAAAGCGCTTTGCAAACTCTGAATGACAGAACCGTGCTGTGATTTTTGCCGTCTTTGTGAACCATCTTGCACCTTGCCAGAGCTACCTGGCCTCCTCCTCCCAATGCCTTGGTACTAAAAGTACCCCCCAGATTGCCAAAGATCAGCAGACTCTAGGGTCAGGTGGCTCCAACGTCACAGCCCAGGCTGTCCAGCCAGAAGGAGTGTGTGAAAGACTGGAGGATATAGCGGAGGTGGGCCACCTCCCTGTGGCAACTGGACCATCATGGGGTGGCGTGAAGGAGAATCGGACGGAAGGAATGCAGGCCAGGGTGGATTTAGAACGTCCAAGTCCAGCCATCCCTGCCCCACTGCGTCCGTGGGTCTAAGTTCTAATTTCACCGTGTGATGTTTATTTAGACCCCTAGTTCTTAGAGACCCTAATGAAAAGTCACATCAGTTCTTTGGCCCCGCTGATCCTGGCTTGTTCTTTTTTGTGTCCCAGGCGTACCGACTGTCCTGGGGCCGGGTGTGGGCCATGATCATCATGCTGTGTCTCATCGCCGCCGTGCTTTCTGCCTTCCTGGACAACGTCACCACTGCCCTCCTCTTCACTCCCGTGACCATAAGGTATGCGGAGGGGCCGCCGTGGGCGTCAGGCGTGTGTGGGCTCCTGACCTTGCCCTCTGCCCGTGTGCCCAGGCCAGCCTGCACGCCCGCTGGGACCGTGGCTCTGCCTGCATGGCTGTGACAGCAGCAGTGGTGGCAGCAGAAATGCCTGCAGGAGTCCGCAGACACGGGCCTCTGTGTCCTGCGGGACAGACCGTCAGGGACCAGGAGGTCTAGCCCACGTGCTCCGTGGGGCGCTCAGCCGGAAGGTGGGAGGTGGGGCCGCTGTCCTGCTCTGGCAGGCTCCTCACTGGAGGCTCCCAGGACCTGGCCTGCCAAGGCCTTGCCAGGTAACTTTGGGAAAGGAAAATTCCATTTCATTCCATTTTGCTGCTTCTAATTCCACCCAGTTACTCATTTGACGTTCACCGAGCACAGGAGGCCGACTGCCTGGAGCCTCCTGGGGCTTGGGCTCCGGCCCGGTCATTGTGGGGCCCCTCCAAGGCCGTGGACACCTGTATCTACACTTCATGTTTGTTATTTTAAGGATGGTTCCCAGCTTATCACACATGGTCTTCCCTTCCTTAGACCCATCATGTGCTGGTGCTGGCTGGTCCTGGGGAAACTGAGGGGACGCCGGGGACACGCCCGGTGGTTTTCTGCGAAGCCAGGTAGTGAGGGCCTTTAGACAGGTCTCTTCAGCTGCACTGATCTGGGTTGTACCATCAACGGGGTTAATCCAAACTCGTGTTCTGAGGATTCTGCCAGACAGGAGATTCCCCTGCGCATGTGAATGTCACCAGCAAAGGGGCTGCCTCCAGGGCTCCGGGCTCATTCTGGGCCACGCCTCTGGTGCTGGAGGAGTGGTGACCCTCTGAGCAGGAGTGGGCTGGAGTGTGAGGTGGGGAGAGGAGGAGGAAGCGTGGAGCGAGCAGCACCCTGGGATGTGGCCTGCGGTGTCCGGAGTCTGTCTGATGCCCGGGCTTCAGCAAGCTTGGCCACATTATCCTGGTCCATATGCAGGCATGAATTTGGGGTGAGGGATGCTGGACTCAGCCTCCCTGCACAGGGGATGTGGCACCTCCCAGTACCCAGGGTTCTTCTGAGAGTAAATGCGGGATGGAGGGTGCTGTAAACTGCAGCACATGCTACGCCCAGCTCTGCACCTAGGATCCCTCAGGGGACAAGAGGCCGTCCACACCCACCCCCTCCAACTAGGGGCGTCTGCTGCTGACGCTGGTGTGACAGCCACACACGATGCACCAGACCCCAGCGTGTCGCTCCACTCTCTGACGGTGTGACCCACACTCCCAGCGTCCTTGTGCAGCCTGGACAGCCCAGGGTCGTCTCTGCCTTGCTGGGGTCTGTTTGCATCCTCTCTGTTCCAGGAACGGGCTTTGTGATTTTATATGAGAGTGGCAATTCCATTTATTAGTCTAAAAATTACATCTTTCAAGACTGAGGAGTTAGTGTGCCTCGGGCTCACTGTTTATACCACCGTATTCTTCATGACTCTTTAAGCTGTCTCGTCTAGCCTGAGCGATGTAGACTTTACGGTTAGACAGCTAGGTCCTGCATTGTTGGTGGACACACACTAGTCCTTTTCTTACTAGAAGCAACTCCTGAGGCCTCCTCAGCTGAGAGCCGCTGCTGCTGCTGCTCAGAGTCTGATCCTTTCTTTCTGGACTCATGTCCCTGGTCCCCGTACACCTCTCCCTTCTCAGCTCTCACTCTGCTCTGTAGGCTGGTCCCCCTCAGGCGAGCTGCTGGCTGTGCTCTGAGCGTGGAGATGGTGGGAAGGACCCTTGAGTGCAGCAGGGCCCCCTGCCCCTGAGATTGAGACCCAGGGCCCAGTTTCTGCATGGAAGTGGGCGCTGTGATGCGCTGGTGCAGGAGACACCCTGATGTGTTTCTGATACAGGAAAAATGAGGGGCAAGAGGATGGCTGTGTCTCAGGTCTCGGGTGAGTCCCTGGGGTGTGCCCCACCAAGTGTGGGTCCTTGACTTTATGCCAGAAAGAATTCAAGTGAAAGCCACAGTAGAGTAAAAGTAGATTCATTCAGAGGGATACACACTCCACAGACAGAGTGCGGGCTGTCCCAGAAGGCTAGAGAAAGGCCACAGAGTGCCGGGTTGTTAGTTTTTATGGGCTCAGTAACTTCATATGCTAACAAGTGGCAGGATTATTCCAATTACTTTGGGGAAGAAGCTGGGATTCCCAGGACCTGAGCCATCATCCACTTTTTGATCTTTTATGATCAGCCTTTAAAACGGTCCTGGCACCAGTGGGAGAGACATTGAGGAGCTATTGGGTTACAGTGAGTGTGCATGAAGCTCAAGGTCTTCTGGGAGTTGGACCTTCCACCATCTTGGTGCTAATGGCTGTGTCATTCTTGTAATGGCTTGCCCTGCCCCCTTCCCTCCTGTCTCATTTCCTAAACTTTCTTTACTCAACTGTGTGCTCACTGGACACCCCCTGGGGAGCTGTAAATGCTGCTGCCCCGCCCCGCCCCCAGGGATTGGTCTGTCTTGAGCTTGGGCCCCAGGTTCAGGGTTCCCAGACAAACCTAGCTTGTAGCCAGGTGGAGAGCCTCTGCTGTAAAGTGTGTGCTGCTTAAGGAAGAAGTCTACAGGCAGTAGTTAAAGGGAAGGGGCCAGGGGACAGCTCAGGGCCTCAGCATTTAGAAGGGAAGGTGGGTAAGTCACTAGGCTGGCAGGCGTGGTGTGAGCCACTGGGCAGTGGTGCCTTCTGCTCTGTCTCCACCCTGACTTGCAGGGGGCCGGTGGCCAGTGCGAGTCCACCTGTGCTCGTGCCTGCCCTGCACTGAGGACCTGCACCCCGAGTGCTCCCTCCAGGCCTGTGCAGGGTGGGGCAGGAGGACATCTTCACCTGGATGGCTCAGATGGGTTGCAGGTTAACTTTCTGAGAAATGTAATTCGGAGAGTCTGCTGTATCCCGTAACTCTCTAGCATTCTTGTCAGTTTATCCCTCAGCATTGCCCTTCTCACCGGAGGGGGTGTGTGTGTGTGTGCACGCATGCACACCCTGCCCTTGTACAAGCAAGTGCTTTAAAAATCTTTAGTTCGCACATGGGCCTTCCACAATGTGAATAGTGGGACTGTTTTCTTCCCCTACAACTCACGACAGATTGTGTGAGGTGCTCAACCTTGATCCAAGACAAGTCCTGATTGCAGAAGTGATCTTCACGAACATTGGAGGGGCTGCTACCGCCAATGGGGACCCGCCAGATGTCATTACTGTTTCCAACCAGGAGCTGAGGAAGATGGTATGTATCATAATGGTGTGGCTTCCAATAAATGCAGACTCCAACTTACTTGCACAGTTAGTAACATCCTCCCCAGTGTGGATGTCACCTCTTTAGAGTGCTCCAGTCACCTGGAGCGTGGGAGTTCAAGTGACTGAGCTGCAATGTGCAGGGAAGTGGTCCTAATTGATTTCATTGCCATTCTGATAACTATTTAAGAAAATGATTGAATAACATGATCTATTTAGTATATTATATTAAACATAGTAGATGACATTATATTAAACATAGTATATTATATTATACTATAGTCTCCAAGTGGGAACTGAGGTTTCTTCCAACTAATAGTAAGAATAAAATGACCTCACTTTTCAACTGAGGTGGATAAATTCACTGATGAAGAACTTAAGCTTTTTTTTACAGGGTCAGAAAATGAAGGGATTTTTAGGGATTTTTTTGGAAAGCGCTTATAAACATTAATATATAATTTCTTTGTCCACTAAAATAAAAAGTATTAAAGAAAGAGTGCAAAATGGTATTTTACACATCATAGAGTTAAAATTAAATTATATAACTAATTTTCATTTGCTGTTCTTTGGACATGAGTTTTTTCAGTCTCTCTTCTCTGAAGTATCAGTAAAAATGCTTCTGAATTGGAGTCATTTATTGTAGATGAGACGTTTATGCGTGTGTGTCCGTGCAGTGTGTCAGTATGTTTTTATATGTACATGCTGTCTTTCATAAAAATATGTGAGCCTTTGAGAGTTCATGGGCCTAAGGTGTCAATGGTCATTTTGTGGGCCCAACATGTTCTAGAGATTCAAAGTATAACTCAGATATTTTGGCTAACCTTTGATACTGGTTGCTCTGAGAAACTGCCTGCAGCACCTCGCCAGTCTTGGGGGGAGAGCGAAGCTCAGTGGGAGAGTGGGTGCTTGCAGTCACGTCACCCTGTGGCGTATCAGAAGGTAGCAGAGCTCTGTGCTCTGTCTTAGGGGCACCCATCACCCAGGATTGGCTGCATCCACGTGGGAGAGAACTATTTTTAGAGAAAAATGCTGTTGTATTATTTTTATTCTACAGTAATCCATTTATTTTTAGAAAATAGAAATAACACGCACACAAATAAAAAATTGTGATAACCCCCCCAGAGATAAATCCGCTTAATATTTTGCTGCGTATAGTCTCCAAGAATGTTTGCATGTGAACATGCATGGATTAAAAAAGATAATTTCTGCTCTGACCAAGATGGAGTAAGAGGGACCAGACTTACCCTCCTGCTTGAGACATCCAAAAAGATAAATAAACCAAAATCCTAAAAACAAAACAAATCAGATTCAGACAATGGTAATCAAGATACTGGATATCAGGCAAAAAGGATAGTGATCCCTGAGAAATGGGAGACAAAGCATAGGTGAGCCTGTGATTGCTCCAGCTCAGTTACCTGAGAGATCTTCCAGGATGCAGTGCAGGGAGAGGGAACCCGTGGGAGTCCCCCCAGGCTCCCTGAATTGAGGGGCTAAAACTGAGTCTGGAGACACCAGGGCGACTAGAATTTGAAAGACAGAGCCCCAGAGAGGAGAGAACTGCACAGAGAGAGAAGCCCAGAAGATTTGCAGAGGTAGACGACCTGTGCCCAGGGAAAGAACAACCCAAAATGATTAGAAGGAATAGAGCTTGGTACACACAGGGCCGGGAGCAGTGTCTGTTCCTGCCAGGAGGCCTGGAAACCTCTGATTCCTGAGGCCTCGGCTAGAGTGCTCTGAAGGGTCTTACCTGGCGTTGGCGAGTAATTATGTCTAGACTGAACAATGCCTTGGTCCCACCTAATAAATCTTAAAGACCCAGAATAATCAGCTTGTTTCTAAGTGGTCTAACTGCATCCAAGAACAAACCTAAAGAATACTTATAGCAACACAAAAATATTCGACAACACACAGCGTAAAATTCATAATGTGTGGTATCTAATCGAAGATTACCAGGCACACAAACAAGCAAGAAAATTTGACCCATCACAAGGTGAATATGAACCATTTGAAGTCAAGCCAGAATAGATCTAGGTGTTAGAATCTGTAATAAACAAGGGCATTAAAGCTGTTTTTAAAACTGTATTTGAGATGTTCATTAAGTTAAGCAGAAACAGGAAAGGTATAAAAAAATGCCTAAATAAAACTTCCAGAAATAAAAATTATATTGTTTGAGATAAAAATCTCCTGTTAGGATTAACAGCACATTGGGAATTGCAGAAGAAAAGATTAGTGAGCTGGCAAACATGGATCCAAAATAAAACAGTGAAAAGATAATAAGTAACAAAAAGCATTAATGAGCTAAGGGGAAAACTTCAGGTGGCCTAATGTATCTGTAGAGCTAGTCCCTGAAGGAGAGAGGGGGACAGAAAACCACATTTGAAGAAAATATGGTTTAAAATTTCAGTTTTTTTTTTAAGTGAAAACAAATTTATTTAGAGAGATACACACTCCACAGAGTGCAGTCTGTCTCACTCAGAAGGCCGACTGGGAGTTGAATTGTCCACCATTTTGGTGTTAATTGCTGCTGTTTCTTGAATGGCTGTGCCCTGGCCCCTTCCCTCCTGTCTCAGTTTCATTTCTAAAGGGAGCCTGACAATAGAAGCTCTGCCAGGGACCACAGTGTCCCCGACAGCGGGGTTCTCTCGGGTGGGTGGGAGGCCTCCTTTGGCTTGGGACTGAGGCAGGCTCCCATGGTCAAGAGCAGGCATTTTTCTTGGTGGGTGCCGTCCCCATTAAAGGTCTCTGAATTGGACTATTGTCTGAAATTTAGTCCCTTCCCAACAAGGGGACAGGGCACACAGGCATGAGCAGAGACTCATGTGCAGAGGTAAAATTTTCTAGCAGGCAGCTAAGGGGAGAGGGGTGGTGAATTGGTTGGTGTGGGGCCTTCTGTACATCCCCGTTATTGTACAGGATTGGGAGGACAAGGGTCCAGGGAAAGCAGTCTGCGCAGAGTAGGTGGCCTCCATATCTAGTGAGAAAACACTTTCCTACCTGCCACGCCAGGGGTTACTAACCCTAGAGTCCTCCGGAGAAATGACCAGTGTCCTTTGGGAGCCAGGGAGGGTCCTGGGCCTGTCAGTCTTCGGTCCTCTTGGCCTTCATTGGTTTGGGAGCCCCAAGCCCCCTTTGGGACTGGGGGCAGGCCTGCTTCCAGTAGCCTCTCATTTGCATATCGGGCAGGGTCCTGGTGGACTTTCCCCTACATGGGGCATTCGTTGTTCCAGTGGCCCTCCTGGCTGGACTTAAAACAGGTCCCTTCTTGGTGACACAGTGTCTCTAATCCAGGAGTCCTTCAGGGAGTTCGGGGTTTTCTTGGGCATGAGCCACCCCGTCTTCCTCACTCAGCCCTGCAATAAACCTTTCTCTGCTCCAAACTCCAATCTTTCCGATTGGCCTCATGGGGCATCAGGCACACGAACTTGCCTCTGGTCACACTGTGAGTCCCACCTTTGGGAGCTCTCGCTGCTGTCTGTGTACGAGTCCCCTCACAGAGCTCCATCCGTTACTCAGATGCTGTTTTCAAGGGCAGCCACTGGATGTGCAGGTGGCTGTGAGAGATTAAGAGCTTCAGGTCATTGCACACTGGCAAGCCGAAATTTTGACGCAGCTTACTGATAATGGCTTCTAAGTTATATTGTATCTTTAGCAATATAATAAATGGTTTCAGATCTTTTCTGGAACTGAGGGAGCCAAATAAGCACATTTTAATAAAAACAATTAATATAATTTAAATCACTCCTTCCAACTCAGTCCTATAGAAGGTGGGCTTTCCAACTGTTGACTTGGGCGTGGTCTCTCAAAGTCATCACTAACGTCCCCTGGGACCTACACTCCCTACCCTCATGTGCGTCCCCCAAAGGTCCCCAAGTGCAGAGCCAGAATGCCTAGGTTCTTTTGGACCACACTGGCCTCATCCCCATGGTCCTTTCTGCCTGGGGGTCCCCCGGTGTTTTGTCATTGCCCCTCTGACCCTCTTTTGTGGCATCAGCAGTCCATGAACACAATAGGAAAGACCTGGAGTTCTCACCAGTGAGAAGTTGGATCTCACGGCCGTTTCCTGGGGACAGCAGCCTTATCTGTCCTGCTTGAGGTTCAGGGGCACCCACCCATATTTGCGGAAGGTTTAAGCACACATTGAAAGAAAGGACAAAACTGACCAGTGATACTGCTGACCTATTCCCTGACAAATTAACCCAGTGGGGACTTCATCCATCCACAAAGATGTCCTCAGCGGCTTACCGAGGCAGGTAGCTCACAGGCAGGCCAAGGAGGTGTAAGGGAAGGGAGGAGGCACCTGCCTGGGACCCCAAGGCCAGTCGGGAAACCCTGAGGGGGCCTCAGTCCCGATGGCCCCAGGGTGACCTGCGGAGGGCTGTGCTCTCCGGGCATGGGGTGCTCTTTCAGATTGATGGCAGTGACTGAAATGAAATATTTATAAAACCCAATTTACTTTAAATGGGTGAATATCGCCTTGTAGTTTTACGTTTTGTTCCCCTCCGTCCTGTTTCACCGGATCGTGGGGGGACGTGTCAGTCCGGTGGTGATAGGTAGATCCGGCTGAGGTTGGGATTAGGTGTGATGTTGTTTCTTCCTCAGGTTGCCTGTCATTCAGGTAAGAATTGGCCTTTCAATATGAAAGAAACAAATCCTGAATGTTTTCAAAATCACAGTGAAGGGGAGGGTAGATAGCTCAGTGGTGGCACGCATGCTTAGCATGCACGAGGCGGGTTCAATCCCCAGTCGCTCCATTAAAATAAAGAATGGACTTCTCCAAAAAGAAGTGAAAATAGATTCCTCAGGTGACCCAAACTGAAAAACAAAGCAAAACACTATCTGGGGGGAAGGGTGTAGTGCAGTGGTAGAGCGTGTGTGCCTAGCCTGCACGAAGTCCTGGGGTCCATCCCCAGTAACACCATTAAGAAATCAATCAATCAGTCAAATTGCCTTCCTCCAACCCCTCCCCCCCAAAAAACCGTGGTGAAGAGTGCCTGCTGTTCAGTGGGCTCCGTGCTGGGTACACAGCCCCCCAGCTGAAGCCTGCCACGCGGCGGGCCTGGCGCTCAGCCCTCTCTGGACCCCTGCCCCCTGATGCCCGCACCTCGGGAGGGGCCATCTGTGGTTTCATTTCTCCTCTGCCGTTTCTAGGGCCTGGACTTCGCCGGATTCACAGCACACATGTTCGCTGGGATTTGCTTCGTTCTCTCGTCCTCCTTTCCGCTCCTCAGGCTCCTCTACTGGAACGAAAAGCTTTATAACAAGGAGCCCAGTGAGATTGTTGGTGAGTGGAAGTGCCTCCTCCCATAGCCTCAGAGTTTACTGCCACAATGTACATATATATATATATATTTTCTTTTCCAGGGGGAGTTGCCACAAAAAGGCAGGAGGTTAATCACATATACGACCTCAGGAAAGTGTCGGTCGCTGGGACACCGTGCACTCAGTGTGCCCCCGTCTGCCTCTGGCATGCAGGGAGCTTTCAGGGGCTTTAAACCCATGAGCTGTGCCCCTCTGGTGTTCTAGAGTGTGCAGTGTGGGAAGCAGTGGCCACCGCTCAGTTTGCACGTCATGACACGTTAACCCACGTGTACATACAACAAACCGCGTGGCTTGTAGACAGACCACAGTGTTCTAATATGTCATGGTTTGAGTCCAAATGTGATTACACAAATGGCAACACAGTCCAGCACAGGGGATAAAACACCGTGTTCATCAAGGTCGTTTTGGTGACACTGTGCTGGACACCGGAAATTGACATATTGTAACTGACTATACTTCAATTAAAAAAAAAGAGAGATCATTTTGGTGTGACAGCGACCAGGAGGGAGAGGGCTCGTGGCCATCTCATGGTTTTATATTTTCTTCACTTAAAAGTTTTAGTACATGTTTTTTTTATTGAGAACATTGCTGATCAGCATATATTAAAAGCAGTAGGTTACTTGGGAAGCAGCCAGCCGCTGCTCAGCCGGGTCCTGCACAGGTTGCCCAGGTAACAGGGCACACTGGGGTCCAGGAGCGGAGTGGTGAGGGTGGGAACCTCTCCCTCACGTGGTTCGTGGTGGCCTCACAGAGCTTATAGGTTGTGTGTTCACCTCCCTCATCCTGTGTTACTCTTCTGACCTCTGACTTCAGTGTTCCTGATCTTTATTCATTTCCATGTAAATAGCTGGGAATCTGTGTGTTCCCACCAGCCCTCCTGCTCATCAGATGGAGACGACACAAGGCAGATCTGCCTTTCTTTCCTGGGTGACTTTTGTATTCAGAATTTGACTCTCTTTGTTCTAGTTTCTCAAGAGTCATCTATGTTAAACAATCTTATTCTTAACAGAATTTAGTCATCCATCTCTACCAAAGAAATGGGATGATAAGCAGAAATTTCTCTTTCAGGCAACATTTATTGATTGCACACACACAAAAAAACTGGAGTGTTCTTGTGGATTTAAAAATGGTTCTTTACATGCAGTCAGGCAACAAGAAATTCCTTGGTGGCCACTTGGCCCAGCTCTGAGTGAAGGAGATGAAGCTGCAAGACAAGCCGGCAGCTTCCTGCGCATGGCTGCTCAAGGGGAGGGGAGAGTGGGCATAGCCTCACCAAACAGGCCCCGAACTGTGGGGGGTGAGCCCAGTGCTGGGGGCTGGAGGGAACGGGGGACACAGACACAGGTGCTGGGGGCTGAACAGACAGTCCTTTCAGCAGCAGGGCCACGGAAGCTTCCTGTCATGTAGCATAGTTTACTTTATTTAGGAAGAATGTGTTTTCTTGACAGCATTGATAATTCTTCATCCTAGTGGTCTACAGAGCAGGTTACGTGGATTTCTTGAGAAAAAATACTCCTATATCTTCTTAAGCTTTATAGTGGAGGGGACACCTTCAAATAGTCCCATTATTTCTCTGTTTGAAGAAAACTTTAATCAATGTTTGTTTAAAATAATAGTTCTTGCAGTGAGATATCTTGATCCACTTTTGTCATTGCCCAGTGTATTAGTTTGCGCTAGCTGCTGTAACAAAGTACCGCAGACTGGGTGGCTTAATCGACAGATGGCTTATTTCCGTACATGTTAATGTGTCTTAATAAGCCACCATAGGTGGCCTATTTTCTCACAGTTCTGGAGGCTGGAAATCCAAAGTCATGGATTGGTTGGCTGTGAGGAAGGATGTGTTCCAGGCCTCTCTCCTTAGCTTCTAGATGACCGTATTCCTATTCACATGGCACTCGCTCATGTGTGTGTCCGTGTCCACATTTCCCCCATTTATAAGGACACCAGTCATTTTGGATTTGGGGCCATACTAAAGACTTCCTCTTAACTAACTACATCTGCAATGACCTCATTTTCAAATCAGGTCACATTCTGAGGTCCTGGGGGCTAGGACTTCAACATACGAATTTTGGAGAGACAGAATTCAACCCACAGCAACCAGTTAGAGGTGTTCAAGATGTTTTGTCATCAATTAGTATATATAAAGTGAGATAACTGAATACTTGGAGAGCTAGGAATGGAGAGCTAGGAATACTGCTCCATCGCACTGGCTAATCTGTCTCTTAAAGCTTGTGTGGGCACAGCAGCACCTCTCCCCAGCCTCCCCCAACCTCCCTGGTGATCAGAGTGACCCAGGAATACTTGTTATATATGCAGATGACGAGGCCCACCCCTGGGAATTCTGTGCTGTGAATAAGCTCTTCTGGAGAGTCTTATCTTGAGATGAGTTTGGATATACAGAAAACAAATCTGCATAGTAGACTCCTCTGCTCTTCCTGAGTAAGGAGGTGAGAAAAGCTTTGAGTGATGTGAGAGGGGATGGTTGGGACCTGGATTATGCTGAAACCCTCCAGCAATGCCAAGACAGGCTGTAAGTCAGCACAGAGGGAGCAGTGCAGAGGCAGGGAAATTACTCTGGGCCACTGTTGGGTATAGGGGTCTCCAATTTGGGGATGCTTGATGTAACTACACATTCCCAAGCCCTACTCCAAACCCTATCCATACTCCAAACCTATCCCAGAGATTTGGTTTCAAAAGGTCTGGTGGCATCCAGAGTGTTAGAATAGGCTTGGTTACCCTGCAGTTAAAAAGTAGCTCTGAAATCTCAGTGGCCTCGTGCCCATTGTGGGCTGGCAGCACCCTGCTCATCAGCAGTTCTCAGAGCCCTGAGCTGCTGGTCGTCATGCAGAGATGACCACGTGTTCCACGCCACCACTGATTGATGCAGCTCGTCACCACTGTCACCAGGCCCCCAGTGGCAGGGTCCAGGATGAGTCAGCCTGCTAAGTGATAAGAACGGGAGAGATTTTGGTTTATTTTTTTGAAAAGCACAAATAATCACCAGAGTCTGCCCCTCTGGTCACCAAATATCAGCTCATCTGCTTCTTGCTACTGTTTTGCACAGAACTTTTGTATGTGCACATTAGGGATATTGATCTGTAGTTTCCTCTCTTGAAATGTCTTGTCTTTGTTGTCCTGAAAGGATGAGTATAGAAATATATTCTTCTCTTGAAATTTTTGGAAGAAATGGTGTAAAATTGCTACTACTTTTTCTACTCTCTCTTTCTGTCTCTTCCTTTCTTCCCTCCTTCCTCCCAAGTGATTTTTTTTATTATTTTTTTTTCTATTTTGTTGGGAGGAGGTAATTAGGTTTATTTATTTTTAGAGGAGGTACTGGGGATTGAACCCAGGACCTTGTGCATGCTAAGCATGTGCTCTACCACTTGAGCTACACCCTCTCTCCCCAAAGAGGTTTTTAACTACACATTCAAAATCCTTATAGATATAGGGCTATTAACGTTATCCATTTCTTTTTGAGTGATCACTGGTGGCTTACGTCTCAAGGAATTTGTCCATTTTATCTGTTTTTGAAATAATTATTCTAAAGTCATTTATAGTAGTTTCTCATTATCCTTTTAATGGTTACAGAATTTTTTACATTGCAGTATAGTTGATTTACAATATTGTTAGTTTCAAGTGTACAGCAAAGTGATTCAGTTATATATATATTTCAGATTATTTTCACTATAGGTTATTATAAGATATTGAATATAGTTCCCTGTGTTATATAGTATATCCTTATTTCTTATCTATTTTATATAAAGTATTTTGTATCTGTTAATCTTGTACTCCTAACTTATCCCTCCCTTCTCCCGCTATGGTAACCATACATTTGTTTTCTTTTTCTGAGTCTGTTTCTGTTTTGCACATAGATTTAGTTGTATTATTTTTCAAATTCCACATGTAAGTGACACCTAGCATTTGTCTTTCTCTATCTGAGTTACTTCACTTAGTATGATGTCTAGGTTCATCTGTGCTACTGCAATGTCAATATTTCATCCTGTTTTACGACTGAGTAATATTCCACAGAACTGAAGCACGAGATTCACGTCTGGCGCCTGACCGCACAGCGCATCAGCCCCGCCAGCCGTGAGGAGACCGCGGTTCGAGGCTTGCTCCTGGAGAAGGTGCTGGCACTGGAGCGCTTGCTGGCCCGGAGGCTGCACAGCTTCCACAGGTACCACACTGGGCCCTGCTCACACCACTCTTGGTTTAGCAGCAGTTCTCATCTTTACCAGGAGCCCCAGTTTAAGGATGAGAAAACTGAGGCTTAGAGAATTTGAGCAGTTTGCCCAGGGTTATACATCTGGGAAAGTGTGATGTCAGGGTAAGTACTGCCCACCACGCCTCCACACCTAACACTTGTTGCACAACAAGAATCCAAAACAATTAATATAACAAAT